GCATGCCCAAATTGGGCTCAGCACATGCTGAACTCTATAGTTAATAGTGGTTTCCCGTTAAGGAGATTTCCGTACACTTTTTGGATGTTTTTCCTTTACACGAAAAAAATGAAAATGTTCGCAATGCGTGACGCAAAAAAAGAAATGAATAATCTTACCGGTTACATGATGACGCATTTTAAACGCCAAATGGAACATTCTAAATATTTGTGGCCTAAAACCTATATTTATGATTCATACGATGCCGAACTAAATAGCTTACACCCAAATTCAGCATTTGAAAAGGTAACAGAAGCATGTACATATCTCAGCACGATGTCTGAAAGCAAACACAACTTTAATCTGGATATTGATTCAACCTTATATATCAATAACGTGGTGAAAGACACTGTATTTATACATACTTTGGTTACGAGTTTTGGAGGTTTACACGGCAGTCGGTTTCTTCTAAGTGAATTAAATAGTTCGATAAATGCAGCTAAGAATCCTGCGTCATCGCTTTCCGATTGGATCCATTCACTTCATGATGTCCATTATTATTTTTTGCGCATTGTGAAAACTATAATGTTACGTGTATGGTGGGCATTTTTAAAGAATTTGAAAACGATGAAAAACTATCAGTCAGCGGAACAATTGGAAACACTATTATACAAACAACATTTGAATGATTTTGTTAGCTTGCTTAAATTACACAAGAAAGACGATTTCATGAAACTCCTTAATTTAAACGAGGAGGAGGATGAGGAGGATTTTAGAGAACTCCCTTACGACACTTTACCGCGGTCTTCTTGTAAAACTGAAAGGAAAATGAGAAAGATTTTACGATTACTGACTAAATACGAAAAAGAGAATGCCAGATTCGTTTTTGAAATCGACGAACCTGTGATCCTAAAAAAAGTTGATTGCCAAAAATCTACACTAGTTGATATCGCAAACGGTATTGGCCATAAGATTAGTATACCCCGATCCCCGATACGAGAGAGTATTCTGTGTGCGGAAGTTTTTGTGGAATATTTAAAAAACAAATTGTCTAAGGTAAATTTTGTCATTTTGCAATCATTTCATATACTTGACCAGTGGGTTCGAAAGAAGTCATTTGTGTGGTAAATTTTAATTTAGTGAGATTATATAACTAAAATACACTTGATAAATATTAATTAAAATCAACCTTTTTTCAATTTTAATATTATATAGAAGGAAAAAACCTATGTTATCAAATTCCCCTTCTCAATTATATACTCTTTAGTTTCATATTGTTGACGTTACTGTATAATGTTAAAAAATATTTTTAAATAGCTAACGTGATATTTTATTTATTGTTAAAATATGATTTCAAATATTGTATTTACATATAATACATACAATTATAATTTTAAATAAATGTTTGCTGTGCTGTAAATTGTATTAAAAAATTATTTTAAAATTCACTGAAAAGTATATCGTTGAGCGTTTTTTTTTTTTTTAATGCATTTATTAAGCATTATGTGTTAAAGATAATGGTTATTTAGACTAATTTGATTGTCTGAAATGATGATGGTATAATTATTTTAAAAAGCATTTGTCGGGAATTGAAACCTTATCTGATGGTCTCGGTTTGCCTCCACTGATGAAGTAGAAAAATTTAATGTGCAATAGTATTGTTCAAATATTGAAAAATATGATAGAGAAAGTTTTGAAACGATTTACTAAAACTCATTTTAAGTTACATAAAAAAATTGTAAGTACCAAATTTAACAATTTTCCCATTGCTCATATTTTCACATAAGATGTATCATTTTTTATGTTTGCAGTAACAGCCATCGCAGCTGTTGCAAAAAAAAAAAAGACCATCGCCAAAAGTATAGTTTACCGTCAACTAACGTCATCGATTGTTCGACTGCGTTTATAAAAAAATTCACTATTTTTCACAATTATTATGAAAAGAATCAAATTATCAATCTTAGAAAATGCTCTAAATTTCATGAAAAAATATAATATAGTCATTAAAATGTATTGCGGTTATTTTAGAAATCATATTTTTAAAAGAAATTTGTATAGGCTACGGCTCTTTTGATTGATGTCATAAACTTGAAAGTTCAATCAAATTTTATTTCCCTACCGATGTTTGAAAAAAAATAGCTTAACATGCATATCTCAATTATTGTACAGTTTTCTATAAGAGATTCCTGTGTCACCACTAAGTATTGTTACCGAAGGGAAAAAAATTGCAATGAAAATAATATCATTGTATGATAAAAACCAAAAATGTTTCCCATAGGTAGTTTTTTTATAATTTTAGAAAAAGTCAAGTGGGCCATTCAATTCTATATAGCCTGTATCAGTTGACATTAGGTGTATATTGTTTTATTATATGCAAACTTAAGAAGGTTATCTAAAATATGTTCAAAACATTTTGAATTTGTACATTTTTTTCAATATAAGGGAGTACAGTATCTGAACTCCGTACAGTTGGAATCAAACGTACATCAAATCACATAACTATTTTTCTCTAGTACTACAATTTTGTTTTCGAGTTTCCCTACCTAGGTATGAACTAAATAAACAATACTTAAAAAAAACGTATTGCAAAATATGTGTTTACCTTTAGATTCAGTACTACTTTTGAAACACATGTGCAGAAGTGCGAGTTTTTACAAAACCTCACTTGCTTTACAATGGAATGACGTTTTTCAGTTTTCGATGGATCACATGAATTCTTTAGGTTTTATATTTGTATAATGTAATTTTTTAATTGCATAATTTACACATGCGTTATAGTACAAAATAATTGTTACTATTCTTAGTTTTTACTATTAAATGTTAGTAGTCTTTTATTATTACTGTTGGCTTTGGGGAGAACTTGTTTATAGAGTATGTAAGTTTACATTTTTAAATTTTATTTTAAATTTAAAATATTTAATTATTTTTATGCAACGAATCATGTATTGGAAATTATTTTTTATCTTTTAAATTGTGTTAAAATTTTTTTTGGATAAATTTTACATTTAAAATAATAAATAGCTAATCTAGTTTCTATACTTTATTAAATCATGTTCATAATTCACTGTAATTACTGTGGAATTTAAAAATATAGTTTTTTGACATTTCCATGTCTTAGCTCTGGCACATAACCGAAAAAAGCGTTATCAAAAAAACGTTACCACAAGGAGATGGTGTTAGGGGTGGGAATGGGGATGAAGATGGGGTTGGGGTAGAAGATAGGGGTGAGAGATAGGGGTAGGAGATTAGGGTAGAATATAAGAGATAAGAGATATGTTGTACGTTCAAATTAGAACTAAATGATAAATTCAAAATAGTTTAAGTACCCATTCCCTATGAATTGTTTTAAGCCAGATATTAAACACTACAATATTAGCCAGAAACTTTATGTTTTAATGTACTAGCTTGTCACTGCTTCTTAATATACTATATCAAAAAACATTCAGTCTACTGCATCATCTTGAGACTCATGAAAGGAAACATACCGGTGAAAATCCATTTAAATGTAATGTCTGTAAAAAAACATTTGGTGATCAGTCTTGCCTCAAAAGACATGAAAGGGTACATACCGGAAAGAAACCTTTTATATGCGATGTCTGTGAACAATCGTTTCGTTGCCAATATACTCTCAAAAGACATCAAGCAAAAGCACACGGCTCATAAACCTCGCGTGACTATTTGGCAGTTTTAAAATAGTTTTTTAATATATATCTGTTATTTGAAATTTTTTTTTTTCACTTACGATTTAATTTAGATTTAACATGAATTATTTAGTTTTTATATTTGTATAATGTAATTTTTAAATTGCATAATTTGCACATGCATAATAGAAAAAAATCTTACTATTTTTTTTTTTTATTATAAAATGTTAGTAGTCTTTTATAATTACTGTTGGGTTTGAAGAGAAATTATTTATAAAATATGTAAGTTTACATTTTAAAATTTATCTTAAATTTTAAAATATTTATTTATTTTTATGCAACGAATTATATAATAGAAATCTTTTAATTTATTGCGCTACTTTTAAATTGTGTTTAATTTTTTTTGGATTAATTATACATTGAAAATAATTAGTAGGTAATATAGTTTTTTTTCTTTATTAAAATATGTTCATAATCCACCATGATAACTGTCGAATTTAAGAAGACTATTTTTGTTATATATTTCTGTTTTTAAAAAAACAATAAGAGATTATGATTTGTATATTATACTCGTTCGACCTTTTTTATTACGAGTTTAATTAAAATTGGCTGTTTGGAAAAATTTTATAAGTATAAGGTTTTTTACCAAAAAAATTGGTCGATGTGTTAAACAATAAACCTTTAATGGTTTCATAATTCCAAGCTTTTCGTAAAAAATAAGAACATAATTGTCATTGGGGGCAATGCTCTTATCGATATTTGTCTTATTATCTCACTTACTACCTCACTTACTACCTACTAGTCACTTACGTATAATACTTTTTTATTGTAATTTTATTGTTATGCTAATATACTGTGCTTGGTTCGGACTGTACTGGTTTGGATTTACTATCCAACGATTCGCAACAAAGCGTTTATTAAAAAGTAATTTTATCACATTGAGTTATAATCATTCCTGTAGACCTGTGACCTCCCCGTCACCACTGTTCTGGCTTTTTTTAACATATTTTTTTTTTTATTATTATATTAAATATTAATTTCACAAGTGTGGGAACTATCCGCCTGTGTATTCTAACACAATTAGCGAAAGGTGTTTCCATAACGGATAAAGACTTAGGTAAACGCATTAATACATTCTATATAAGATGTCGATGAAGGTAAATTTACTACAAGCTTTGAAACCGGTGTTGGGAATTTGATCCGTTTGCCTCATAAAACGCGCTACAGTTTACCTCCACTCGTTATCACCACTTTTACCTACCACTACCACGGTTATGTAGATAACAGTGGTTACCACACACACACAAAACACACGCTATCTGTCAAGACAATGTTAGCATTAAAACCACAATCATTATTAAATACAAGTTATGACTTTGGTTGTTGTCAATAATTGAGATTTCTTCTTGTAAACTCTTCTTTTTGTGAATTATAACTAGTTAAACTAGATTTAGCGCTACGGGACCAATTTGTTTTCATTATTGTTGCTACGGGTCCGATTCGTGAGAATCATTAGATTTAATCAAAATAACTTGACCGAATTCTGTGATAAATACCGAACGTATTGCGTCGTGTTTTGTTATTTCGTTTCAATTTGCATTACAATTGAGTTTTGTCTTGCCTGTTTATCATTTATTATAAGTTTTTAGTAGCAGCCTTGGATAGCGGTTTACGGTTCTACGTTGTGTGAGTACCTACTGTTTTGTATTTCTATATCATTAACATTATTGCCAAGTTTCCTGTCTTCCATTGACTTAGAATACTGCTTGTGAATAAATAGAATCATAATCTACAGGTAAACTGTATTACTTACTGTTTTCTCGGAGTCCCGTTGAATGACCCAGGATCAATGCCATTTTCAATTAGTCAAGTCGTCAAAATGGTCTATCGCCTAGCTTTTATCTTTATCGTATTAGCGTCTTACCTACAAGTCATACTTTTAATTTTGTATTATTATATAGGTTTTTATTTAATACTTATTATTTACTCGGAGTTAGGTTGAATGAAACAGGATTGACGCCACTTTAAATTAATCTAGTTGGTCAAATGAGCTATCGTCTAGCAATAATCTTTATCATGTTAGCTTCTTACCTACAAGTTATACTTGTACAAAAGACACCAAATATATCACTGTAAACTTGGTTGGTTTTTTATTTTTCAAATCATGTAAACTAAATTTTACATTATTATATCATTATTATTACTATACTTATTACTGAATAAAATAGTAAAAATTGTGTAATTAAGTCGTACTAATAATTCTCTATGCATGTATGGCACAAAAATATGTACAACTTATGTCAAACGTTCGTTACAGAGTTGGGAAACTGTTTAATATGTTGAAAATTAAAAATGAAAATGATGAAACCGAAGAACGCTCCTTTGAAGGATCGTTTGAAGTCATCGAGACTAAACCGTTAGATGTGGAGTTCAAAAACGATGAAATTTCTACAACAGAGGAGTATTTAGTAAAGAATGAAGGCGACAATACTTATGAGTAAGGCTATTTTATTACTTTTTTTTTACTAAACAAAACAATAAAGTTTTTGTAATTTTGTCGCCCTCTGTAATTTAAAAAAAATCACTCATTTACTTATATAAGTATAAAATCTCATGTATCCTAAAAGATAGGTACTATGCTTCGTACACCGGAGTCGAGTGATACGGGATGAACATCACTTTAAATTAATCTAGTCAGCAAAATGATCTATCGTCTAACTTTAATCTTTATCGTGTACGCTTCTTACCTACAAGTCATGCTTGTAATTTTGTGTTATTCATCTAATTTAAGTTAATTAAAATTTAGTTTTAATGTTAAAAAAAACAAAGTGTATCGCTTAAAATTTGGTCGATTTTTATTTTTCAAACAGTGTCAACTAAATTATTCTTTATTTATTTTTATTTTATTCAAGCTTCGGCAACTAAAGACAATAGCTGTCTTCTTTATTATATCATTATTGTTACTATATTTGTCTATGCATATATGGTACAGAAATACAACTAACATTAAATGTCCATTATAGAGTTATGAAGCGGTATAATGTGTTAAAAATTAAACATGAGAATGATGAAACCGAAGAACGCTCTTTTGAAGTAATTGAAACTAAACCTTTAGATGGACAGCTCAAAAACAATGAAATTTCTACAACAGAGGAGTATTTAGTAAAAAATGAAGGCGACAATACTTATGAGTAAGGCAATTTTTATTACCTTTTCTTTTGCTAAATAAAACGATCAAGTTTTTTTAATGATCTCGTCCTTCTCTATAAACCTGTCGTTGGTATCAATGTTAGCGTTTCGCTGTCATTTAACTAATAGTAGGAACCACACACTAAATAAAATAATTAAAATTAGGTTTGAAGGATCGTTTGAAGTCATCGAGACTAAACCGTTAGACGTGCAGCTCAAAAACGATGAAATTTCTACAACAGAGGAGTATATAGTAAAGAATGAAGGCGACAATACTCATGAGTAAGGCTATTTTATTACTTTTTTTTACAAAACAAAACAATTAAATTTTTGTAATGATGTCCTCCATAATTTTATAAAAAAATTAATTAATGATGTCCTAATTTATTTTAAAATACCTAGTAATAATAATATTGTTTAAACAATTATTTTTGACGTTATAAGAAGTAAAGCGAAGTATGAACTTTTCTTGAATAACTTAATGCATAAAATCATAAGGGTTTATGTGATATTAAACATTATAATTTAGTTAAAACTTGTTATCGAGCAGACAAATTTTTCAGTAAAATATATACTATTTTAAAATAATTGTTTGGTAAATACTGTTTGATAAGTTATATATTTAATACATGAGTAATTTCAATTTTTATTTCCAAAAAAGTGTAACTGTTTATGTTATAATGGTGAATTATACAGAAATCTAAAATTGTATATTTAAACTTGTTTTGTTAATTACCGAGTTGATAAGCATTATAATGTATCCAACAAAAAACAAGATATTGACATATTGGTAAATGAAACACAGTATAAAACCAAAATATATTTAATTCAGCTGTTGGAAACAGATCATGTACATCTAAATAATTTATTAATATAAAAGAAAAGCCAATCACTTATTTTAGTATAAAATCTCATACATCTTAAAAGATAGGTACTATCCATTGTACACAGGTATGAGTTGTGTCGAGTGATGAATGATCAACGCCACTTCAATTTAATCTAGTCAGTAAAACGGTCTATCATCTAGCTTAAATCTTTATCATCATATCATCTTACCTACAAGTTATACTTGTAATATTTTGTTATTTATCTAATTAAAGTAAAATAAAATAAAATTTTTAAATGTTAAAAAAAACAAAATATACCACTGAAACTTGGTTGGTTTTTATTTTTCAAATAATGTAAATTAAATTGTTTTTTATTTTGTTAAATATATCCAAGCTTTGTCAACATAGGCCTTTAGCTGTCTTCTTTATTATATCATTATTATTACAAATATTTGTTACTAAATAAAATAATTACAATTAGGTTTGAAGTCATTGAACCTAAACCGTTAGATGTACATCTCATAAACAATGAAATTTCTACAATCGAAGAGTATTTGATAAAGAACGAAGTCGACAATACTTATGAGTAAGGCATTTTTTATTAGAATTTTTTTTTTACTATTAACAATTAAGCTTTTGTAATTTTGTCGCCCTCCGTAATTTAAAAAAAAATTTAATTAACTTTGTCTTAATTTCTTTGTAAAACAGTAATAATATAATTTAAACAGTTGTTTTCGACGTTATAAGAAGTAGCCAGTAACATTAACTTTCCTTGAGTAACTTAATCCCCTTAACTTTACCTTCTTCCATACTTATCTGTTTTATAAACTATTATAAGTCATTAGGGCTTATATTATATTAAATATTAGACTTTATGTCTAATATTATCTCGTCCTCCTCTATAAACCTGTCGTTGGTATCAATGCTAGCGTTTCGCTGACATTTAACTAATATTAGGAATTAGTCACTTCTTCGTATAATAAATAATTGTTTTAAAACTACATCTACCTCTTATCAATATAATGTTAAATCAAAATACCAAAAAAAAATAAAATTTGTAGACATCTATTTACTGGTTTTTGTATTTTATATAATGTAAGCTAAATTATTTTTTATTATATCACTATTATTACTATATTTGTTACTAAATAAAATAGTTAAAATTGTGTTATTAAGTCGTCCTATTAAACCACTATGCATATTGACACAGAAATACAACTAATGTTAAATGTCAATTATAGAGTTTTGAAGCGGTATAATGTGTTGAAAATTAAAGAAGAAAATGATGAAACTGAAGAACCTAAACCGTTAGATGTGCAGTGCATAAAGAATGAAATTTCTACAACGGAGGAGTTTTTGGTAAAGAATGAAGTGGACAATACTTATGGGTAATGCTCTTTTTATAACCATTTTATCCTAATAAAACATTAATCTTTTGTTATTATGTCATCCTCCTCTATAAACCCGTCGTTGGTATAAATTTAGTTAATTGTTTACCACAAAGCAATTATAATTTTTTTTATAATATGATACAAAGCCTTTTTGTACAAATACCTCAATAATGTCACTTTTTTAACCTCATTATTGTATTTTTATATCACACTTATTAGCTTTTATTACTTTATTTATTGATAATTATAGCACTAATGTTATATATTGTAGTTTTTAGAAGATAAATTCCTAGTTTTTGCAAAGGTGTGTTTGTTAAGAATGCAAAATATATTTATTTCCCCTTTCAAAATATTCCCAATGCACGTAAATATGGACTATAATTAAAATAACCAAACCAATAGGTACTAATTATAATGCAACAATGAACTAAAGATTGAATAAAATGTTGAGATTCAAAATATTATTATATTCGGACGTTTGTTATCAATGTTTTGAAACGTGTAAGTATTCTAATTAAATAATGTACAATTCCAGCATGTTTTTATTCTGTTTAATAAGTTGAGGCAACACAATCACAAATGAAAATTGATATAAATAGTAAATAATTATTTTTCGTTTAAAATCAATAATAGTAATCCGTTTATGCAATTTATGCTTGTTTGATGCATTGTACATTTCACATCAGTAAAATTAATATTTTCTGTGTAAAATATAAAAGATTAAACTTAAATTAACATATTTTGTTATATACTTGTTGCAGTAATAGTTTTCCGTGTGCTGAGACCGATTCCTCAAAAAATACAAACACCGTGAATTGCAATATTATTGAAACTAAAAACAAAAAATCAGAAAAAAATATAGGCAAAATACGTCAGTTCGACTGCAATACATGTCAAAGAAGGTTTGCAACTAAAAGCAGTATAATCCGGCATTTCATTAAATCACATTCCAATATATCGAAAGCAAAGAAAGCTCCTCGAAAAAATAAAGTCAATCACGGAAACAGCAGAACCATAGGGTATACTCAAAACAAAGATGGCCTATTTAATTGTGGTATTTGTTTAAAAAGTGTTTCGTCCATATCAAGCTTGAGAAGACATTGTCGTATTATTCATACGGACGTAAAACCCTTTAAATGCGATGTTTGTGAAAAAACATTCAGTCTACTGTATCATCTTAAGACTCATGAAAGGAAACATACCGGTGAAAAGCCATTTAAATGTAATGTCTGTAAAAAAACATTTGGTGATCAGTCTTCCCTCAAAATTCACAGAAGGACACATACCGGCGAAAACCCCTTTAATTGCGATATCTGTAAAAAAACATTTTTTTACCAGACGTCCCTCAGAACTCATGAAAGAACACACACCGGCAAGAAGATCTATAAATGCGATATCTGCGAAAAAACCTTTTTTTACCAGAGTTCCCTCCGAGCTCATGAAAGCACACATACCGGCGAGAAGCTCTTTAGTTGCAGTGTCTGTGAAAAAACATTCAGTCAACAGTGTAACCTTAAAACTCATGAAATGATACATACCGGCAAGAAACCGTTCAAATGCAATGTGTGTGCAAAAACATTCAGTCTACTAAATAACTTAAAAATTCACGAAAGGGTACACACCGGAGTGAAACCTTATAAATGCGATGTCTGTGAGAAAACATTTGGTTACCAGTCTGATTTCAAGAGACATACGCGTATACATACCGGCAAAAAACCCTTCACGTGCGATGTCTGTGAAAAAACATTCACTCGACATTGTTACCTTAAGACTCATCAAAAGATGCATACCGGCGAGAATCTCTTTACATGCGACATCTGCGAAAAAACATTCGGTCTACAATCTAACCTCAAAACTCATGAACGTATTCATATGGATAGGGTACGATATGAATGCTCCGTCTGTGAAAAATCGTATAGTCGCCAAGATAGTCTCAAAAGGCATCAAGCAAAAGCACACGACTAAAGCCTCGTTTATCTCTCGTGACTATCTTTTATTGTATTTAAAATGTCACGTTGATTTCTGGCAGATTAACCGGGCAGTTTATGATTATATATATATATATATTAATCAATATATATATATATATATATAAGCGTTTTTTCTGCTGATTCTAAAACTGATTTTTAAAAAAAAAGTACAGCAAACCATCTGTGTGTACAAATGCCAAAATAGTGTGTTAAAGAATATTGTCGACTTGAGATTAATTTCTACCTTGGATTTTTTAATATTAAAACGTATTTATATCTAGGGTACATATTAAAAATTAATGTGTTTCTTGTGTACATTTCCGAGCGCGACGTGTGCGTATATTTGATTCGTGGCATTATAAAATATGTTGATGTTTACTTTATGGCTTTTAAATTAAAACAAACGTGGTAGGCAAACAATGTGTGCGTGTCAGTTTGTTACAGAGAGGAGTACGATTAGCCACTACGTGGAACCAATGTGCCTGATTTAAACATTTTTGGTTTTTGTTGTAGAATAAACAGGTAGGTCGTATTCGCTTTGTCGAGTAAAAATTCTGGTGTCTACGCGGTTGAACATGGGAAAACAACCATTGATCGTTAAGTTAATCGTGGCGTCAATCGTTGTATGCACAAAACACGAGACGAGCAGTAACGGAGCACTCTCTGTTGACCTGACCAATCATGTGGAGTATATTTTCAAAGACGAACACTGGAGTGGAATGCGGTTCAATGCGCTCAACTGCGAATTTGGCTGGCTGTTTAAACGTTATATAATAACCAATAGAATTGTCGTCGCTACGAGTGCAATCGACAAGTTGAAAATTTTCCCTTACATAATGGGATGCGCTTACGGACAAGACCTGTACGATTTTCTCTGGTTAACAGTCCATACGGGTGACGTGTGCAAAAGTCTACCGCGAACGGTCGACGCTGACGATTGTTGGAGTAAGCTCCAAGCTACGCTCATATACGGCTCGTTCACGGTGCTTGAACTGTTGCGCATACTCGAGCTGATCCATTCCTCTGACGAAAGCGTAACTCCAAGTCCGTATTACGGGATTTTCTTGTCGATTCGAACGTTTCTCGACACGTACGACCCTCGCAGCAGCTGCAGAGACGAAGACATAATAAACGGCGCCCGGCAAACCATAATTCTGGCCAATTCTCTAGGCAACGTTTTCGACTCGAACTGTAGGCCGAAACATAGTTTCTTCGTAATAGACAACTTGACGGAAGAATATCATGCAAAACAAAACGCAGGTCATCTCTACGACTTTTATGTAAGCAGATTGAGTTCGTATACATCGCGCATAAGCGATCACGTCATGCTCCGACTTCGTTTTCATTACGACCCCGGCACGGACAAAGTTACTTACACTACTCCTATTCAAAGTGACTGATACCAGCAACGATACGATAACGATTTAAATGTTTTTGTTTTGTTCGTATAAACATTTTTTTAATAAAATGCATTAAATGCGTCGTGCTGCGTTATAATTGATGAAGTAAAATTAGTTTTACATTTTTTTTAGTGTTATTCATTTCAGTGTACTAAAAAAAATTTAATAAAAATACTGTGTTTTGAAAATAAACTGTGTTTTTATTGATTTCGTACTTTCTTATGAAGTGTTAATCATTTTAGGGTAAGCGCAATCAAAAATGTAAGTAACGCCTTTGAAATAGTTTCTTTAATTTTAAATTAAATTAAATTGCATTGAAGGGTTCGTACTCTGGATGCTTACAAACGTTGCTTAACCATACCTTACAATCTTTAAAAAAGAGGATATTTCTCTTGAAATCAAGAAATAAAAAATAAAAATTTGATAATTTTTTAAGATAACCGAAATTGTACGGAATATTTATTAGATTTAAAAGGTGTAGAAAGTTTTTTTTATATATTCATTATAAGTTTAGTAACTGGACTTGACGTTTGAAAATCAGACTGATCTATAAAGTAAGGCTACAGCCTATAACATGCTAGTATGCTCATGTGTTTATACATTAGTCGTTATTAATATATAGTAAAATGAGTATATAATATTTATAGTATTTTAAACCTATAAACGTTTAAAAATGTTTGTTTTATGATTTTTGCATTATTAAAATGATTTCTTATTAAGGTCTTATGAATAATAGGAAAATCATTAAAATTAAAAAAAAAACTTATAATCGTTGTACCTGTATGGTCAGTCAAAGGCATTAACCCATTAAAATTGGGTCAAATATAATTTTAAGTACATTATTTCTTTTAAAACGCTTTTATCGATATTAATATTACCAACATCGTCCAAATTCATTGAGTTAAGTATTATGAAATGTATGTGTCATTTAAATTACAAAAGAACTTACAATATAAAACATCATCTGATAAATGTATTAGGGACTTTGTTGAATAGGGCCCACGCTTTTCTTTTTGGTAAAAAATTAAAGATGTTTAACATTATTTAAAATTGTAGTTAATTTTCGGTTGTTTTCAAAGTAATTGACATTTTAAATAAAATATGCTACAATTCATTGGTAAATTGATCTTGTAATAAAATTATTTTTTACTTTTTAGTTCACTTTTTACTATTTTTTTTTTTTTTTAGAAAAACATGTTTTTAAAAAAGTTTTTTTTTTTTTTACTTTTTAGTCTTATTAAAGGTATTTCATATTTGCTGAATAGACTAGTAAATTAATTTTGGTAGATTTGGAAAAAAAATGAAATTTTAGTGAAATGACCCCCACATTTGACATTGTATGCGGCGACTTGGATGTCCGAGTCCCAATATGATTACAGGATATTGTATTGTCATCTAAGTGACAATTTAAAAAATGAAAAGGATTCTGCTACAAAAATCGCACCAGGTATAGTATTAAAATGTGTCAACAAAAAATCGGCAACAATACAAGCTTCGATGTAGAGCAAAAAAGTTATTACGCTGTATTTTTATTCTTCTAATTTTCGAATAGTTGAATTAGTTCAAACTTATGAGAGATATTCTTAAGCAGTTAAAAAAAATAATCAAAATTTGTAATAATAAATTTAATATAATGAAAAAAATTATCAAATGAGCAGCAACAAAATAGAGAATAAATTTTAAAAAAAAGAAACGTGTCAAATAATAAAAAAATTATTTATAATATAAATAATATATGTCAAAAAATCACTAATATAACGTTTGCAATTTAATATTACATAAAACTCACAATTTAGTTCAAGTTAAACAATATTGATTATAACATTAACAGTTGCAACAAACCCCATTGTTACAGTTATCCTACTTCGTCTTATTTATTTACAAACTGAAAATAAATTTAAACATTGAGTTACTGAGTAGTTAAAGGTCAGATTTTTAAGAAAATATTTTAATCGCACCTATATCACGCGAAGGGCTTTTTTTTACCAGTGTGCACGCATCTGTGTTTTATGGGATTGTTATGCGAGAAAAACATTTTAAACAAAAATCACATTAATTGGTCTTTTCTCCAGTATGTACGCGTTTGTGTTTGTTGAAATTTGATCTTGCGGAAAAAGACCTTGAGCATACATCACATTTGTAGGGCTTTTCTCCAGTGTGAACTCGTCCGTGTTTTGTAAGGTCAGATTTATTAGAAAAAGACTTAGAGCATAAGTTACATTTGTAGGGCTTATCTCCAGTGTGCACGCGTTCATGTTTAGTGAGATTGTATTTTACAGCGAATGACTTTTAACACACCGTACACTTATAGGGCTTTTCTCCAGTGTGTACTCGTTTGTGTATTGTGAGGTTGGTTTTAGAAGGAAAATTCTTAAAACACAGAGCACATTTATAAGGTTGTCTGATGTTTTTGGTAAATCCCTCAGTATACATTGTGTTGTTGAGTGAGCTCTATGTAACTGAATAATGTGTTGCCCCAGTTGTTGTTCCTCAATTTCTATTACAGACTCAAAACAATATCCATCCACTAAATCTCGTTCGACTTTAACAATGGTTTTGCTGCAAGCTTTTCCGATACTATAAACGAAAAAATATATATTTTTAACGATAGAGTAATAAGGATGAAGCTAGCATACATAATATTAGATTTAACCAAAATGTCTCATATTCTCATATTAGTAGTGCTAAAAACAATACAACTCTAATAAACTTTTTTGATACTATTTTTTATTAATAATATCAACAATAATTTTACAACATAAACCATATTTATGCAGCATTAAAAAAACAGTTAAAAAAATAACTAGCGAGTCAAAAATTTTTAAAAGACAAAATAAGCAATCTCGCAACTAAATACTATTTTTTTTTTTTAAACAAAATTAAAATATAATATCTGTAAAATTTAAGCCTTAAGTTGTACCTGTATATAAATGCTAACTATTAGTTAGAGCTTAAAGAAATTATTAGATTGCATAAACTATTAAATTTGTGTAAAAAAATGTGTGTTACTAGTACGCACAGATGAAGTGAAACTTCTTTCAGAGTCATTCAACCGATAAAATATTAGCTTTGTATTGGAATAAAATTTATAAATACATCTAAAAGTGTTATTTTCAATTGAAATTAATTAAATTAATTATTATTATACCTAGGTTTTAATAACCAGTTTTTTTTGGCTGATACAACCTATTATCGGCGCGGCGGCTTCAATAGTGATTATTTTTTTCCACCAGCGCATAAGTGAAATTTTTTTATTATTTCATTAATTTTTTTAATATGAGTGGCTACTAATATATTTCCATAAAAATATAGAATCTATAGTTAGTGTCAATTAACAAAATTAAATATATTTAAAGTAAAGTAGCTTTATTATTTGAACCTGTCTTTACGAATTCTAATGCTGAACGTCAAGCTATTTAGTTAGTTCTTGTTCATATACTCTCAAAAACATATTTATTAATTATTTTAATTTAATATAAATTACATCACGCAGGGCCCTCTAAAACAAAAAAAAAATTGCAGTATGACACACACAATTAAGTTATTCAAGCCAAAGGTTAGTTTATTAACAATAATAAAATAAAGTAATACAATAGAAAATATCGAGAATGACGTAGTGCAGAAATCAACCAGTGAAAAACAGAATCCTGACAACGAAATCTACAACAAATTACTAAATTAATACCAGATTACCGACTGAGTGAGAATTGTTCAAATTTAGATATGATACAAAAGATATGCCACAACATAACAATTTTATTTTATATTAATAAATTGTTGTATTTGTTTTAGATATGAAAGAGATCTTACATACACGTAAACGAAGCACAAAACTCAACACTTACATCAATTTTCAAGTATATAAATTTGCTCACAAACACTAACGATAATTTTACAAATAATCTGTTCAGGCACGCTTGCTCTATCTGAAATAGACTTTGGGTTCAAAAAGATTCAAAGAAACAAACCATGCGAACCATGTAACACAATATGAGACAACACGCATGTGCAACTAAAAACTGTTACAAATGCCGACCGTCACAGCCGATAATCTTTTTTTTTTTCGTACTCTCTGTAAAGAAGTTTTACTTCAAAAAATGTACTATAGATTTAAATTACAAAATGTTATTGTAGTGTTTCTAAAAAATCACATTACTTATTTGTATCTTAGAAAAGACTTTTGTATAACCTTATGTATTATAGAAAAGACTTTTTTGACGTTTTTAAAAATGATATAGCATCGGTTGCAATAGGTATATCGAAAAAAAATGGATGCTTGAGCATAGATAATTATGTCATACATAGTATTTTTGGATTTCTTTCCTTAACTATGTATGAGAAAAATTAATCCGCGTAAAACTCAACTCGAAAGAATTTTTTTTTTAAATCGCTGTCAAGGATGCTGTGATAGCCCGAAAAATAATTTAACTACTAAAAAAAAGTCCTACATACTTAACTAATAATTACACATCACTGTTTAGCCTAAAAGTTAAGATTTTGTAAAAAATTGCCTATACTTTACTCCTTTAAAATGGGCGGTGTATTTACTGTTTTGTAGTTTTTCTTAAAAAAAAAAATTTGTCTATGTTTTACATGTAAATTATTAATATACTTAATGGCCTTTTAAAATTAAGAATAATTTGCTGAAACTGGTTGATAAACAGTATTGAAAAAGTTTAAACAAATTATTAGTATTTACCTAACCCCACCATTCTTCCTGTCCTAAATTTATATTCAGCATGTGCACAGTGGTAAGTGATAACAGTGGTTGTGTTGACTGTATATATTTATATTATATTAACATGAACCGTGGGCTAGTGTAGATTAAACGCGGTTAACCTCCACGATGTGGAGTACCTCCATCTATGGCAATCATTCGTTATCACATACACACTATCACAAATCTGTCTAGACAATTTCAGCGTTGTCGTGCAGCGTGCAGTATGCATTAAAAAGCCTACAGCAAATGCAAGTTTGGTAGTTTGGAAAATGATTAAACAGTAGAACACTCCTTTGACAAAATCATTTGAAGTCATTCAACCTAAACCGTTAGATGTGCAGTTCATAAACAATGAAATTTCTACAACAGAAGAGTATTTGGTATAGAATGAATTCGACAACACTTATGAGTAAGGCAATTTTATTACCAATTATTTTTTTTTACTAAAAAAACAATTAAGTTTTTGTTATTATGTCGTCTTCTGTAGTATAAAAAAAAAAAATGTAAGTAATAATTATCCTAATTCATTTTTAAAATAGTATTAATAATGTTCTTTAAACAATTATTTTCGACGTTATAAGAAGTAAAGAGAAGTATGAACTTTCCTTGAGTAACTTAATCCACCTATCTTTACCTTTTTCTATACTGGGCTTGTTTCTAAGCTATTATAAATCATAAGGGTTTATATTATATTAAACATTTGAGTTTATTAAAAACTTGTTATCGATCAGTAAAATTTTTCAATAAAATATATACTCTTTAAAAGTAGTTGTTTAGTAAATACTATTTTAAAAGTTTTATATGTAATACATGAGTAATTTCTTTTTTTATCTGCAAAAAAATTAAAATGTTGTCCTTTTCTACAAACCCGTCGTTGGTATCAATGTTAGTGTTTCACTAACATTAAATTTCTATTAGAAACCACTTGTTCATAATATAAAAGATTGTTTTAAAACTACATCGTCCACTTATCAATATAATTTTAAATCAAAATAACAAAAAAATAAAATTGGAAACATCTATTTTGGTGTATGATGACCGGTCAAAGTCTGCAGTAGTGCATTATGTCAGCTTAAGTTTGCACAAGACTTACCGTGTTGTGTGTACAAATATATAGAAAACATTCATACATTTTGTATTCAATCTTTTATAAAGTAGACAAAAAATGTGAACAAGTGTCATTTGTTATTATAAAAACTATATTTTGACAATTGTAAAAAAAAAAAAATAGTATAATATGTACTGGGGATTGTTTTGATACTTTTTTTTACAATCAAAATGTATTTTAAATTAAGTAGACAATTTTAATGAAATTGACTGTAAGGAATCTAACTTTTTTTCTATTATTCATAAAATGAATTATTTTCGATGCGTCTTAAATAAATCTATTTCGTTTTATACGTGTTGCAGTATTCATTTTCCGTGTAAAGCGACCAATACCTCAAATAATACAAAAACCGTGGATTGCAATTTTATTGAAACTACTATAAAAAATAATTCTGAGAAAAATATGTCGGTTCGACTGCAATATATGTCAAAGGAGGTTTACAGCCAAAAGTAATATAAATTCGGCATATTGCAAAATCGCATTCCAGTACTTCCGTGGAAAAGAAAGCGCCTCAAAAAAATAAAGCCAATCATCGAAACAGCAGAATCAGAGGGTTTACTCGAAACAAAGATGGCCTATGTAATTGTGTTTTATTTTTAAAAAGGGTTTCGTCAATATCAAGCCTAAAAAGACATTGGCGCATTCATACGGACGAAAACCCCTTTAAATGCGATGTCTGTAAAAAAAACATTCAGTCAACACTCTTCCCTTCATATTTTTTTTATTACGTCTCGTATTTAAACTTCTAAGAATCATAGTATTATTATTAAGTATTATTTAGTATTATTAAGCCCAACTATTATCATTGTTAATACCGGCACGGTTACCCAGGTCAACAAAGTTACCTCGATTACGTATACTTTTTATTAGTTTTCTTATAATTTTATATTACTTATTATTGTTATTATATTATTATTTTATATTACTCAACATGTTACATAATTTGGCAGTTTAGTTGTACTCTTAAGTTAAGTAACTTAAGATTGTACAAGAATCTCCAAAGGAATACATGTGCATGTATTTAGTATTTATGTTAGTTTGTAGAACATATATCCCATATAAATTGACTTTTTATTCTTGACTAAAATGAAGAAACATGTACTTTAATCGAAGTGTGTAGAAAAGAAAATTATTTATTACTGTTATATGTTTAATAGTATAATATTAATATTATTTAACACAATATAATCGATTTAGGTGAACCTTTATTTGAAAGAAATAACCTTTTTCTATTATTTTAAGTGGTTCTTTGCAGACAATATTTAGTGTTTGTAATTTTTTCTACAAAAATTATGTATTTTGTTTATTTTCTACAACTCACAGCTATAAAACATTCAAACATTATTTCAGAACACTACTGCATAGTTAGGGTCTTTTCTCGTTTAAGTATTCTTAATTAATTAATTTAATTAATTACTAATAAGTAATAACGAATAATTATTTTAAGAAAACTTCATAGTGGAATATTTGACAAAGATAAAAACAGAGCATCTGGTTGACAAGGAGAATCATTAAATTATTTTTGTCATAATATGATATCAATGATGTTTCTCTGAAATTATATAGTATTCACGTCTTATAATGTTATTTTCATTAATTAAATCT